CTGATTTGGAATCCCGTCTATATCGGTTCCTGTTTCAGTATCGCCTTACGCCACAATCAACTACTGGTCAATCGATGGGTCATAAGCCCCGGTCCCGTCTTGACCTCACATTTCCGGACACTTCTAAGAAGGTTTTCAGCCGACAGCAAGCAGCCGTAGACCGCCGCCCGGCTCACTCGTTGTCCTTCTGCTGTGGCGACCCTGTGTCCTGTGTCAACTTTGCTGGCTCACCTAAATGGATGGATGGAGTTCTTGGAAGAGTGTCTAGGCCCAGCCACATTTACTGTGCGCCTACCCGATGGCAGATTGTGGAAACGGCACAGTGACCACATCCGCCCACGGTTGCCGGCCGAGGAGCCACCTGTTGCTGCGCCAGAACAGGCAACAACCGCATATCCAGCTGTTGTTCCATCTGGTCAACCTCTGAACCTCCAGTGTCGACATCATCTGTGCCGGATTCAGACGCATCCGAACTACGTCAGGCGAAATAGCACGTCATTGCACATTTGAGACCAGCGGGAAGAAGATGACGATGTCCACAAATTTAGTATCTGTGCACACGGATGTGCTGTGTGTGTGTGACTTTGTGTGTCAGCTATGACATCAAACCCTGTGGTTCCATGCCTACCGTGTAGGTCAGAACCATCCTGCAAACTTTGAATGACGTAGGTAGAACGATTGCGCCACAAACCATACCTTTTGAAATTCTGTTGATAGTATACCTTCCACCGTTGAAGTTTCGAATTTCTTGCTGAGAGGGGTAGCTTGCAATCTCGATATGGCTTGTTCCAGGCATGCTGTGAAGCGAAACCCTGTTGAAGTAGTGGCGGGGATCTGCCCTGAAACTGCTACAACAAAAAATGATTCGATCTGAGAAAGCGTGAGACCGCGAATCTCCGTTGAATATTGAGTTTTCAAGCCTTTTCACGACGAAGATGGAGTTCTTTTTGGAGATGGACGTCGCGGCAAAGGACATGGTTTCCGACTTCTGGCATCTGGTGAAGCCAGGGATCATTTGTCCAGTCAGGTTGGTCGCCTAACCGTCGGTAAGCTTGTGTTTCGTTTGCGCTCTGCTCAATGTGGTGGATCACAAACAATTTTGATATCGCACAAATTGAACTCTGCATCGTGCGTACGGTATTTTATATTCAGAAAATCGCAAAGTGTCTCTGACTCTCTGTGTGGCCGTCCTATGCCACGAGAAACTGCAATCAGGCTCCTATGTCCTCTGCCTTCTTGATTGCATGTCCACTTTGTTTGAACAATGAACACAACAATCGAGGACGGCTTTGCAATGAAAAATACAGCTATACTGGAGCTGAAAAAAGAAGAAAAAACATGCTCAGGATGAGACTCGAGTACACGCGTACTCTCCCAGCAGGTTTTGTGGATGTCGCTCATAGATGCGTAATTTCGCGTGACGACAGCCTTCAGTTGGTTCTGTGCCAACAGTCGTATCTGCCTCACCAGTTCCTCCAGCACCGGAATCAGTCACGCTTCCAGAGTCGCAGTCAGCTGGGTCGACCCCTGCTATTCATCCGCGTCGCTCAACTAGAGCTGTTCAGGCGCCCGTCCGTTTGGACTTGTAACAGTTCTATCATAGCTACTCACAGTTAGATCTGCTGTCTTATTTCTGTGTTTACAGCTATATTTCGCCATGTCTTGTGTTACTGTTTCTACAGGTGATTTGTTATTTAGTAGCAGTGATTTTTTTGTTATTGTTTACTTAGTCTTTGTTTCATCTAGGGTTGGAGGGATGTGATATCCATGTACATGTCTTATGTGTTGACGTCACTAAAACGTCACTAGGACTCTGCATGCACGCAGGCCAACCTGTGCTGCCTTGCCCTTTTGTTGTTGTTCTGTCTCCCGAGTCCTTGAAGTGACTTCCTCGTTGTTGGCTTATGAAATAGAATTATACATACCGGAAACATCCTTGTCTCAGTCTGGGTTGTAATAGCAAGATTATCCCGACCTTGCTTGAAAAATACCCGCTTGGGCAGCTTCTACTTCAAGTATGCAACGGAAATAATAACCTCGTTCTAAAAATTAATAGTTAGTGCATGACAGGTGTGCCTAATATCTTGTCAGCGCCCTCCATTCCATGTTAACCAACAGGCCATCGGGCACTAGCAAACCATATGGCCCTCCCCGCCATGCACTAGCCTATAAAGTAGTGTTTAAATCGAACACGAAATCTTTGAATGAATAATCTATCGAATAATTTCGCCCTTCATCGAACGAATAATCTATTACCATACGCATGCTGGAATTTTTCAACACTTTTTCAGCCCTTTTTTGCTGATTTTCGGATTATATATTGTTGAGGTGCACAACTGCGAAACAGTAACTACTGGTTTGTTGTTTCACTACATGTACATGGCGAGATTTCGGAGGTCACTGTACTTCGGTCACCACAACTGGTGTGAGTCCACGAGGCATGACCCACAACCAACAACAGGTTAGCCCCACTTGACCTCTCGTAGGACCTTGTCGGACTGCAACAGCACCAGGTCTACTGCCGGTGGCATGCCCTGTTCTGTTGCAAGAGCTGCTTTGAGGCAAGACTACACTACGGTGCGTACTTCGAAGTACAAACAGTCGAGTACACACATCGTCGTTGCAATCATGCAGTCACAGTAGATCTACATGATCCACTGCATGTACATGTACAGTGCACCGTGCTTGCGCGCTCGTGCATGCAGATCCATCCCCACACGCACATGGCATACACAGCTAGCTTGCGCTGGACGCGCGCGGGGGTCAGAATCTGCACTCAACTTGTCCCCACTCTGCCATTGCGCTCCAAATGCCTTCTTTATGCAGACGACACCACCCCGTATGCCTCTGGAAAGTGTCCACAAATTCTCATGTCTTGTTTGGAAGAAGATGTTTCAGTGGTGAAGCAGCACCTCACACTGAGATCGCGGCCTGCTCCTGAACTCCAGCAAGCGACAGGTACTACTGATCCACGGCAGATGCTTGCATCCTCCACCTTACCTGAGCATTGTCTGCGGTTCGACTGTTATTGCCCCGTCTGACGAAGTTAAGTACCTCGGACTGACTCTCGGCTCAACTTTAAGTTTCAGTGCTCAAGTTAATTCCCTCAGGGAAGATATTGGAAAGAAACTAGGTATTTTTCGACGTGGAAGGAGGAACCTTGCTGTCCAGGCCAGAAGGCAGTTCTACTTGTCAGTAGTGCAGGGCAAGCTCGAGTACGCCAGCACTGCCTATGTACACTGCCTACGTGCACTGTCTCACTGACAACATGAGAGATCAGCTGCTACGCATAAGTAAGACAGCACTTAGATGCATATTTGAGTATGACATATTCACGGGCATGTCATACTTGCTTGAGAGGCACCACATAATTAGCTTAGACAAAAGATATCATACTAAGTCCATATTCTTCATGTTCCGTTGCATCCACAATATCTGCAGTTCACTTCTCTCTGACATGTTCACCCTTCAACCTGACTGCGCTCACACAGATAGAGTCACCCGCGGCCAAGTCAATAATTCCCTTTCTTTGCCCATTGTGCAAACTCAAGCTGGATACAAATCTATTCCATTCCTTGGTGCTGACCGCTGTAATGCGCTTCCCAAATCCCTTCGCACTAATCATATCCCCAATTCATTTCGCCAGGAACCTAACTCATTCACTCATCTTGGACACCCTGTAAGAAGACCTTAGGGTCTGTTGGGAGTGCCGTAGTAAAATAATAAAATACAATACAAACACAATACAATACAACCATATAATTGGACTTTGTTTGAGCTTGTGTGTGTTGGAATGATGGCACAACTAAATCTTAAAATGATAGCCATCATTAAATTGTTGTCCCCATGGCGTTTATTCCCTTAGCCTTATGAATATTAATATAGTGTTTATGATTAACTATTAGCAAAATCAGCATAACAAACCATACATAGCACATGTGCATACGTACCATTACAGTCAGCCTCTGGTTTATACAATATACTACTTCCTCCGTATACAAAAACTTCGTGACTTTTTGAAAGGTGTTTTTGAGAAAGAACCTGCTCAACGAACGGCGCCAAAGGCTGTCATCGACAACCCACGTCCATGTCGAGGTTAGTTTAGTTGATCCCGAACAGATTCTCCACGGACGCCATGCGTGTGAGGACGTTGCCGACAGAAACTCAAGAGTCAAATGAAAAAAAACTAACACTTACTTGCTCGAAACTGACCGTGACAATGACGAAGTGTAGTTTGTGGCTGGAACACGGAGTCACGCGGCACTCGCTGCCCTGAAACTGGCCAGGCTCGTAGATCTACGTCGTACGTGCGGTGCGCGGCCCCATAGATCTGCGCAGCGTGAGAACATAGATTTGTTTTCGCTCGCACGGCAAGATGAAACATTTCAGTCGTCGTGCAACCAGCGCAGACTCAGGATCAGAATGTCGATGGCCTGGCTTTCTTCGCCTCTCTCCAGTCAGACGTCTCCTTTGTCGCCAAGGGGAATCGCAGGGACCTCCTCGAAGCCATTGTAGAATGCTTGGGAGGATCATCCTGGCGAGAAAATGCGAAGCGTGTGGATGTGCTTGTACGACTCGTTTCACGGCATAATGGAGGTCGCGAGTTGGAACGACTGAATATAGTCGACAACGATTCATACACAGCTCTAGAGATGAAGAGGACGTAGCCAAAGTCCAGCGTCGGACCATCACTGCAGGTGACAAGAATCTGAACGAAATGCGAGCGGAAGCAACGACTGTTGGCGATGCGGAGTCATCGTCGTCAGGTGACAATGACATGAGCGACGAAGACTCTGAAAATACTCAATCTCATTCGTCTGAGTTGCTTTTTTCTTTGTATATAGCTTGTAAACAGGTTAGACAATGCCACGAGTGTTACTCCGAGTCAAACGGAACCATTCCAGAGCTGTGCGCAGCTTTCAAAAAAAGTCACGAAGTTTTTGTATACGGAGGAAGTAGTAATAGTATTTTGGTCACAGTATTCAGTAAACACCTCTTACTTCGTTTACAGAACGGAGCACACGGCTGGCAAACACCATTGTCATCATCTTCTGTGTTCAGCGGACATGTACGCACACAGTCTTGTTTGTACGTCAACCGGTTTACATCTGCAAGCAACAGGACAGGGCAAGGCAATGTCACACGTCTTAGTAATGACTTGCCAGCTGCTTGCGCAACAGGTCACTTCAATCTCAATAAGTTCTGGTCTACACAAGCCCACGTGGGGTGTAAACAATGGATATCAGTCGGAGGTGGGAGATATTTGGGAATTTGCTACACTTTTTTTGCACTCTGAGCCTGGACTACAGTGGAAAAAGCCCGATTCACCGCAATACACATTCCCCGCATTTGGGTCGAACGGGCAAGTTAGCACTTTGTCATTTCCCTGGCATCCATTATCAAGGAGAAAAGGACCCACGTGGAATACAAAGGATTCATAATTACAGAGCAGCCATGGGATCACGGGATGGTCACATACCGGCACAACTCTTTACACAGTCCAGTTCGTGATTGTACCGTCCGTCGGGATTTGCTACCTCTCGACTTGTCCTCCGATCGACAGTAGTTAGCGGTGGGCAAGAAGAAACACACCTAGTTTGCCCATTGTCGAGTACCAGTCGCTTGCCCGCACAGGACTGTCAAGACAAACCAGAAAGCATCAACAACCGGAAGGGCACACCCAAACACCAATGCTTTGTGAAACGGAATATTGCTACTAACTGTTACTGGTAAAAAGTAAATCCATCCTGTAGGAAGTTGTCCACACACCAGCCAGCAGCGACACCATAATTATTCAGATGGAGCATCGAAAAGCAGAGAGCTTACTTACCACACATTTGGTGTCCCCGTATCCTGTACAGCCGCCAGCACATTGTGAGTAACAGCATATCTGACTTGTTAGGTTGCAGCGCTTGCCACAGCTGTATGCACTGCAGCCCACGTACGTATCTGCAAGGTGAAACGATCAAGCGGCAACAAGAGATACACACCGCAGTGGTTTGCGACGAGCCTGTCTCATATAGAAGCCTGCTTGGAATACAAGCCTGAATTTCAAGATGCTTCATTGGCACACACGCCCAGAGGCGGATCCAGAGATCTCTACAGGGGGGGGTTCCGGTTGAACCAAAATTGAACAGCCAAAATATTATGGAATCAGATTGTGTTGTAAGTTGTGTGGTTGACACTTGTAATAACGACAATCCGATTGTGTTAGTGGCAATCACATGCTTTTAAACACACACTACGGACATATACATATATTTTTCCATCATCGACCACACCACAACTGCGCTTTCCAGCCAGCCTCGACACGTTGCCACAGCACACCACCATCGCTGGAGAGCGCAGTTGTGGTGTGGTGGACGATGGAAAACTTGTATACAGGGCCAAATGCTGCTGCTTACCCTACATTGTATATTATTCAGTACGGACACATAATCATAATTATACATGTATGCAATCGACTGGCACACAGGTTCCGTGAGGGCGTGAACCCCCGGAACCCCCCCCCCCCTCCCCCTGGATCCGCCACTGACGCCTGACCTTTAGTGTTGACATGCATACTGCAAAGAGCATGTAATCCAAACAAGAGTTATAGGGTGCCACGTTCACAATTCATTGCAATATAAGTTGGTTCCGTTTTAAGTTAACACACCTATCTGTATGCTCCCATCTGCACGACATCGAGAACATTGAGTTCAAATCATTGTAACGTAACCACTGGCTTCATGTGCTTAGTTGGGCAATCTTCAGATAATGATATCGATAATACCAAGAGGATATAACCCCCCAAGAGTGTGTAACTCCTGATACCCTTTCTATGGGGTTCGCCGACTCCGAAAACTCACATCACGTGGTGTAGTGTCGCAGTTGTATGTTTCCAGCTCGTTTTTAGCAAGCAGTGGAGTAAAAAAATCACTCTCTGACAGAAACTCACTGCGCGTATGCAAATAGCCAGCATGATCATGGCAGATATTCAGATTGCGCGCACGCAATCCTTCGTTTGTACGTAGTACGGAACGAAACGTACCAGAGACACGTGATGTGAGTTTTCGCTGTTGGAGACCCCATATGCACAGTTGCATACTCTTGATAGGTTGTATACTCTTGATAATACTAAGCTCAGACATGTGTAAATTCCAAGGCTCCCCAAGATCACAGAGGGAAACACGTGTGAGTTGTGCATAGCTGAAAACCAGCATATTGTCACATTAGACTACAGCAGCTGTCTTGATGTCTTGACAAGACGCGGCACTGAAGTTGCATCAAAGTGCAGGATGTAACGGAATCCCAGCCATTCCGTTCCCCGGGATGCAGGACACAAAGGACACGACTTGTTTGTTACATTATTATTGACATTACGGAAAAGCAGACTACTCTGACAGTGACGAACAAGAAGACTGACAAAAGGACTCTCGACTTCAACATCGCGCATGCTCATATCACACATGCACGCGACTAGACGAGACAGTTCAGGGAATGCCATCACACAGGAAAACAACACACCATTTTACAACACCTGCCCCCTTGATGACATTCCGAAACCAAGAGCCGGCGTTCTATAGAAAACTGGGCCACGACACTGGGCCAAACCAAAAACACAAGAGCCGACGCTCTCAATCAAGCCGCACCACAGGGCCAAACCAAAAACACAAGAGCCGACGCTCTAAACTCAGGCACACAAGGCCAACCGAAACATGAGAGCCAAAGCTACAACAAATAATCCCATGCCCGCAGCAGCACAAAATAAATCTACAACACAAAACAATGCAGAACAACAGAACGACGAGAAGAGTAACAGAACGACAACAACCAAACTCAACAACACAGCAACAAGCAACAAACTGAACAGCGAGAGAAATACAATCAGAAAACACAGCGAGCAAGACAACAACAAGACGAACAACAAAGGACGACACGCAGTCGGCGATGCTAAACACATCCACTGGCCTCTGGCAAGCCACGACCATACGGTCCACGTGGTACCTGCCGTCTCCGGCTCCAGTCCCCAGCTTCTGCCAGTCCACCACCTCCTCTGCCTCCTCTTCCACCGTCTTGCACTCCCACCAGCTCCTCGCTTGATCTCCTCCGTTCCCACGCTTACTTTCTAGTTTTACTTAGTTTTTTTCTAGTTTGTTTGTTTTACTTTGTTGTTGACGAAAACAGACTCACGACAAACTATCTCATCCTCTGCGTCCCGGGTTTCAGCACCACGTTGTAACGAAATCACAGCCATTCCGTTCCCCGGGACGCAAGACACAAAGGAAAAAACACATTATTTTACAACAAGGAATGCTGTCAAGTTCCTGCTCATATTTAGTATTGTGGTGTCATATGAGATCTGTCCACCATATGATGCCAGCCTGCCATCGATATCACATACTGCAATGTGTTGTAAACCATCTTCTCAGAACCACATGAACTAATCAGGGGCGTCACATGGTGGTTTGGAGTGGTACGACCGGGGGCCCGGGGTGTCCTGCGGAGAAAAAATTCGGATTTTTCGGCCAACTGGGCACGTTTTAGCACTCCACAGCCGCAAAGGAGGGTTCCCCACTCCAGCTTAAAAAAACGCTTCTCATGGATTTTTTGGAATTTTCTGTACATCATCATAGGTGGCCAAGGCAAAAAGGAAGCTATCGCCCTCGAAAAATCGCAAAATCCGAAGTACAGTTCTAGCACCAGCCGCTGTGCAAAAACGTATGTCATGTCCTGCGAAAGTGCGCCTCGCCGCATGCACCATGTACACGGCCGGCCCGCGGACAGTCGCGAAGTAATGTTAATTGCTTTTAGAGAGAGAAGAAGATCCTTTTTTTTGTTCGTTGGGATTGAAAGAGCTGCCAGTGGACCGGAGAGCTACAACACTGGAAGCAGAAGAAAGAGCTTGCTGAATCTTCTCTGTCTTCGTGGCAACAGGACTTTAGTTTGCGAGAGACTTTCGTCCTGTCGTCGCGGACGCAATTCTTGTTGCCGCTACCAGAAAATTCGGAGAACGAAACGATCGCATGTCGTTTGGTGAAGCGGGTCGTGTCGGTGAACAGCTGCAGCATGTTCTGCTGCCGTAGAGCAGCAGTCTAAACACTTTTCAACTTCGGATAATGAAGCGCTTCCCTAATTCGTTGACAAGCGCGGCGTTCCCGGGTGTAGATGTAATGCATTTTCGCATCAGCTTGCAGTAGATCGTCAGGAGCCAGAGGTACTACAGGTAGGTGTTGTTGTGGAAAGAATAATTATGTTGTTGTAGCTGACAAGTGACATGCTTGTAGTGTCTCTTGACCGTGCTGATCGCCATTGTAACATGATCTTGGAGAATTTAGTTCTGGACCCATTGATCGCCGCCAGCACTGTTTCCGTCAAGTTTGCAGTGAATACGTCCGTGAGGAATCCATCATTTGGTTGTCTCTACCCGTGACTCCAACCGCCTATCGCAATGGATAGCCGCCTGGCGTCTTGGGGTGCTAGCTGCTAGGCATCAAGTCTGAACCAAATAATTGTATGCTCCTTGCAATGAAAGTTGTGATGTTTTGTACAAGTCCGAAGATCCTTGAATTTTTTATATGGCCCAATATCTGAGAAAATCGACCTTCCGGGCTGTTTTGGTGAAATTGATTTTTTTATTGCAAATTGATGTCTAGCCTTTGTAGAGTATTGTGACTTCGTTTCACGGCCATCAGACCAATATTGACCATGTGGAAATGCATTTAACGGTCAGGAGTTTTGTTAATGAATTGTTCATTTTTTTTTAATTTCGAAAGATCAGTGTGTTTGGAGCCACCAAAAATTGTTTGTGACGATATAGATTGCCGTGATCACGAGCTCTTATGGATTTCCCTGGCAATGCACTCCGGAACAAAGATTGTTCTGGGTGCGCTCTACCGGCCTGGCTCTTGTGCAGAGACAGACACCAGCCTGATGGACTACCTAGACAACACTTTGGATGATGTCCGCCGTCTTGGCAGCAATGTGATAATTGCAGGGGACTTCAACGTGCATAATTCAGCCTGGCTACAGAGTAGCAAGACTACCCGAGCCGGTGAATGCCTGGAGGAAGTCTGCGCAGCACATCATCTTGTCCAGCATGTCACCCAGCCAACCCGCGGCAACAATACTCTCGATCTTATCATCTCCGATTTCTCACACCCCGTATGCACCACAGCCTATGCACCACTTGGACGATCCGATCATGCCGTTATCATTGCCGAGTTTCTCCAACAGCATCCACGACGCGAAGATCCTGCTGTTCGACAGGTTTGGAAATACGCCCTTGCTGACTGGCACCGCCTGAGAGCCTACCTCCGCAACATAGACTGGCCCGCCAAGATCCATGGGTGTGCGGAGCAGTCCTGTCAGCGCGTAACTGATGTCATCATGCATGGAATGAAACAGTTCATACCATCCAAAGAGCTTGTGGTGCACCAATCCAACCCTGTATGGTGGACACCGGACTGCTCTAATGCCAATCATGCCAAGGAGCGGGCATGGAAGCTGTGGCGACGCAATCCCCGCAACGATAACCACAAGGTCCAGTACATCACAACTGTTAACCACGAAGTGGAAGCGTGTCATGCAGCGCGATTAGCACATCAACGTAGAATTCGCAACAAGCTTACTGCAGGTTCCCTCCGGGACAAAGAGTGGTGGTCAACCATCAAGAGCGCAGCAGGCAAGGGACGTTGCTCTGACATCCCCCTGCTGACCAACCCTGCAGGACAAGAGTTCCACTCTTCTCGTGAGAAAGCCGAGTGCTTTGCAGCGCATTTTGCGAACAAGTGTAGCCTTGGCAATAACGACCTCTGTGCTGCTGACCTGCCTGACCTGCAACGACCTGCCTATGCCACGCTAAAGCACATTCACTTCCGCGCAGCAACGGTCAAACGGCACTTGGCGAACTTGGCTGTATCAAAAGCAACTGGACCGGATGGCATCTCTGCTCGGGTGCTCAAGATGTGCTCATCTGAACTTGCAGACCCACTGGCAAAGCTCTTCACCCTCTGCTTCTTAGCCGGTGTGCAACCCGGGGCATGGAAACTTGCCCATGTTGTCCCAGTTCACAAACGGTCCTCCAGATCTTTGGCATCTAACTACCGACCAATATCACTGCTAACGATCATGTCGAAAGTCATGGAGGGCATTGTAAACACGCAACTGGTTAACTACCTAGAGAAGCATGAGGTGTTGCCAAACAGCCAGTTTGGATTCCGACGTGGTAGAGGAACCGCAGATATCTTAACGGCTCTCCAACATGAATGGGTCCACACCATAAGTACTGGCGGTTGTGTCCAGGTCCTCGCCGTGGATATTGCCGGTGCGTTTGACCGGGTATCGCACACAGG